AAAATGTCAGAGCTCCTGGACCTGGGGAAGGCTTGAAGTTCAAATCCAAGCTAGGGGAAGGGAGTGGAGGCTCCATCCCTACACAGCCAGGCTTGTGTGGGATGATGTGAGACCCACAAGGCACATGGGTGTGTTTGGGACAGGGTGGGTGTGATGGGAGCTTGCAGGTACTTACGCTTCACCGCTGTGAAATACAGATATGTTGATCAGAGCAGCAGGAGACAGGTTGGGAAACTGGGCACATGTTCCATGTGACTGGGGTAACTTCTGTGGGATGTCCCTGGTGCAATGCCCCAGGGGAAGGGAGCTTCCCTGTCTCTGCAGCGGTCCAAAGCAATGCACTGTCTTGCAAGGCAGCAGGGAGAGCTGCCAAGTCAAAGAAAATGAGCCAGCAGGTACTGAGCTAATGTCTCTGCCTCCACATTCCCCAGGGACCAGTATGCACCAACTTGGGCCTCAAGCCTGGCCAGCGCCTCACTGTCAAGGGGCAAGTTGCACCAAATGCCAAGAGGTAAGCCGTGCTGCCAAGGCACCACACTGCGTTGTCTTCTGCTGGTGGGGGACAAAAGGAATCCCTCCCTTGGGCAGGAGAGGAGCAGCCTTGGAAGGGGTTAATACCAGCAGCGCTTCCCGGTGAGTCATTGCCTAATGCACATTGCAGACTAACTCTACTGCCAAGGGGGTAAGCCAAAGCAGATGTGAAGCTCCAGCTGCATGCACTGGCAGTGACCACATCCTCTCTAGTGCAGGGTAAAGGAAATGGCAGCTGTGTCTATACTGATGAAGATGGCACTGTTAAGTGCCTTGCTTCGCTGGGCAGGAGGAGATTATGGTGCAAGCAGCTGGGAGGTGATGGGTGCTCTGGCACCATGGATGCTCTGAGCCACAGCTCCAGCTGATGATGCAAATGGAAAGGCTGCATGTTGCAGCAAGGTGTCTCAGGGTGTTGAAGTTTGCTTTTACCCACTGGAGATGCCCCTCAGATGCTGGTGGGGATGGAAAGAGGGAAGATAGTGAACAGGCAGATGGGCTTAAGTGGAAATGTGCACCTAAATGTGTGGGGATCAGGGTGGCTGGGGCTCTCGGGGAAGCCTCTGCAGCAGCCCCCAGCCCTCGTGCAGGTCTGTGGCTGGTGGAGCCTCTTGGTGGGTAAGGTGGAGCCTGTAGCTGCTGTACCAGCACTAGCGGTGTTCCAGGAAATGTCCCAGCTCTTCCCAGTACCTTTGAAGTTTGATAGCATCAGAGTGAAGCCTCCTTGGCTTTCTCTTGCCAAATAATAGGCCTCCTCTCTTCTCATCTGGGTAAGAGACCTGGAGGCAAGGTGGACACAGGGCTAGGAAGCTGCTTCCTCCCACTGCCATTGCAGACGCTTTAGGATAGCTAATGACATGGTAATTATTTCAGCTGCCTGCAGGGTGGGGAGAAGGCAGTGGCTGTCAGGCAGGATGTGGCACCAGCTAACTGTGAAAAGCAACTGACTCCTTGGGAGCTGGTTTGGGTGCAGGATAACTCCCTGTGCAGGGCTGTTGAACCTTTCTCTTGTTAAAAGCTTTGTGGAAACTAAGTGATGTCTCTCCCAGGGATGGCACTGTGGGGCCTATCACCCCAGCAGAGGAGAGTACCCCTTCCTGACACACCACCGTCTTTTTAGGGAAGCTGTGCAGATTCAGAAAGGGTTTCTCTTTGGTTACTCTTAGCTGGGCTTGAAGCAACAGACCCAGAGATGTTCACAGTAACGAGCAACATGCTACCATAGTATTGATTAAAAGAGTACTGATGTCTTCTTTCTCTACAGCTTTGTGATGAATCTGGGGAAGGATGCTTCCCACCTCGGGCTTCACTTCAACCCCCGTTTTGATGCTCATGGTGATGTGAACACCATCGTGTGCAACTCAAAGAAGGTGGAAGAGTGGGGTGCAGAGCACAGGGAGACTGTCTTCCCTTTCCAGAAGGGGGGCACAGCAGAGGTGAGGCCTGGGATGCACTCTCTGTATGTGCCCTGGTGAAGGGAGGGTGTTTGGCACGGTGCGCCCAACTGCAGGGGCTGTCTCAGGGCTGTCAGTAGAGGAGGTGGCTGGTTTCTGCTTGGCCAGTGCCACCATCCAGGGCTCTGAGCAGCGATGGAGGGTGGGGATCAAACGTGCAAGCTCCATCTAGCTCAAAGGGATGTCACTACTGAACCAAGTGGAGAGCAGGCATCTCTTGAGAGACCAGAATAACACTCCTGCTGCTGAAGAGCAGGTTATGCTGCTGAGCATGTTCACCCTGCAAAGTGGAGGGTGGCACAGCAATGCTGCAGAAGGGAAAGGCTTGAGGGTATCTTGGCAGAAACTTTCTCTGACTCTTCCATTTGTCTTGCAGATCACATTTGGCATCAACCAAAATGATGTGACAGTTCACCTGCCGGGCCACCAGTTCACATTCCCAAACCGGCTTGGTCTTGCTGTCTTTGACTACTTTGATACACAAGGGGACTTCACACTCCAGTCCCTCAGCTGGGAATAACTTCCTCTGACACCTTCATCTCAAAGATACAGAAAAAGCAATCAATAAATAAGAGTTTTGGTCTACCTAGTCTCAATCTTTTTCATACTGCAAGTCCACATGGGTTGGGCATGTTGCTGGAGGGGTGGGGAGAGGAGGGTAGCCAACTGTGCTTGATTACCACATGTGGGTGGCACTGTGTCAGCCTTGGCCCTTAGTCATGGATGGAGAGGAAGGTCAAAAGCCTGGGAAGGCAGAAGGTAAGAAGCCCAAGGAGAGTCTTAGGAGGAAACACTGGGGCTAGATCTGACTAGGGCGGAGAGCAGAGGAGTCCCTTAGGCAAAGTCACCCACTCTTGAGGTCTACCTTGCCCTGCCTGAGCAAAAAAAAAAATTAATCTAAGCATCCCTGGCTGGCCTTAGACAGCCTTGAGTTGCTGTGTTAGGTAAACCTAGTGGTGCACGGAGCGAGGGGAAATTTCTCAGTTGTGCTAGCTTTGGCTTGCACCTCTCTGTAGGGTCTGGTCTAGATCACCAATGTCTTCTTGGGACCTCTTGCGTCTGCATGGGGACAGCAGTAAAAAAGATGTTTTGCTGGGTGTGGTGGCACATCCAGTGAACTCCTCATCCAAATCCTTTCTTCCAGTAACTGCAGAAGCACAAATACTGTTGGGCCATAGCTTGTGTGGCACATAAAGGCAGTAACCTGGAGATGTCTGGTTTTATTCTGCCTCAGGTGCCTTGTCTGCTCCATCCAGAGCTGGGAGAGGGACCAATGCCCGTCTGGAGTGTGAGATGCTAAGGACTTGTCCATTGTGCTTTTTGTTACCTCTTCACTCATATTAGCTCACATGAGCCTGAGCACTTCTCAGTCTAATCTGAGGCTAGCCTCTGAGGAGACTGAAGATGATGAGGCATGTTTGATGTTACAGCATAGGTCTCACTGGGCTATAGGTTTTTATACAAGGTGTCAGCCAGCAGCTGCCTCAGGGGCTCTCCCAGTCTAATGCTACTTTAGCAGCAATGGCTACTACTGTTGGGCAGGCCGTGCCCGGTGGGCATAGGAAAGGTAGGAGCTGCCCTTTCCAGAGTACTCAGCAGTTACCAGGTAAGCCTGGGATGGGGGGACCCAATCTTTAGGTCCTCACTTCCAGCCTTGGCCATGAGCAATACAAAGCACAAACCATTTGGTGTCCTACAAGGACTCCCTGCAGGTCTGGCTGGGCTGATTCCTCCTGTTAAGCAGTTGCAGAGTGGCTGGAGTGCAGGATCTTGCTCCTATGCTAGCAGCACCTCCTGGTTTTGCTCCAATAATTCATGAGGCTCTGCCAGGTCCTATGTCTCAGATAGCCATGCAAAGGGAGGCTTGGCTGCTAGGAATTGGGGTGCTAAGGAGGAAGAGAGAGATGAGTTGGAGACAAGGGCTCAAGATGGGCTTTTGGGCTGGGAGGCAAGAACACTTATGGTGTACAAGTAACGTGAGGCCATGCAGCTGGATCTCTCTTGAAGCCCCGTGTTGCCCAACGCCAGTCTGCTCTGGATGAGCACGTCCCGCTCTTTAGGGCTACATCTGTAATAGTGAACACTACATCTAACATTGCCACCCTGTGCATAGGCATGGCTGGGGGAACTCTTCCCATGGAGTGGTATGGATGAGGCCATCCTTTCTGGGGATGAGAAGAGAATTTAGCTGTATGAAAGTGAGCCATGCTAGGCTAGATGGCCTCAAGGCGAGAGATCTGGCCCAGTTTCTGCAGTGGTGATAACAATCTCGTGGACTGGGGTGCATTTGGTAGGCCAGAAATTTAGGGATTTCCTCAGCCACAGCAGAGACATGGTACTGGTGAGGACCCCCTCCATGAGCTGTGATGATAAACACGTAGTGGAGCTCTCTCCTTGCAGCTTCCTCTGCTGGGCTGATCTTGAAAGCTGAGCAAATGTGCTGATCTCCCCAAGCTGTACTTCAGAGCAATCTCACAATGTTTCTTAACTGTACATGGGAGTCCTTTTTTAGACTCTTCCAAGATTTTTTTGTGGAGGGTGGGGGAAGAAAGCTGAGTGTGAGCTTTACCACAAGAGGATCAGCCTTATTCAGGTCTCCTGCTAGCGCGGTTGACATGACTCACTGGTCCTGTGAAATCTGTGACTCACTGTTGTCTTGACTTTGTTATGGCTCAGCCCGTTGCGAGCAAGGTGAGGGGTGGTGAGGGTTCCCCAGCTGTATAATTTAGATGCATCAAGGCTGACTGCTCCCTTCCACCCACTCCCCAGCCTTGCGCAAGGTGGAGGCTGGTGTGCAATGCCTGAAGGACCTAAGGAGGGAGTCAGGATCCCCAAGACAAGGTGCCTCCCCAGAGGTGAGGAGAGCAAGTGGCCTTGCAAAGGGGAAGGCTTGAAGGGGAACACACCACAACGACAATGGAAGACAGCACACACCAGCATGAAAGGCAACAGACTTTTATTACTCAACTTGACCCCGGCCAAAGGCTGGGAGATGTTCCCAACCTGGGGCACTGCTCACCCTTTGCTTTCCCCCACAGACCCTGACGGCTCCCCGAAAGCCAGGGGGATGCTGTGGCCTCCCACTGGACCTGCCATGGCCTCCTGGGAGGGTGCCAGGGGCCGTGCCGTGCCCATCCTAGTGCGGTCAGGGCGCCGGCGGTAGCTGCCGGCAAGCAGGGTGTAGAGGAAAGGGTTGACACAGCTGTTGCCATAGGCCAGGCAGGTGACACCGAAGTTGAGGTAGGCCTGGGCAGTGGGGCCGATGCCCAGCCCCTCACCCCGGTACAGCCCGACCAGCTGCCAGGCCCAGAAGGGGAGGAAGCAGGCCCAGTAGGCAACCACAATGGCGGAGATCCTGGAGAAGAGCCGCCGGGCAGGGGCCCGGCCAGCCACCGGCAGCCCTGAGCCCCAGGTGGAGGACTGGTACACCCGGGCCAGGCGGGCATAGACAACACCCAGCACCATGCCAGGTGCCAGGACGCTGGTGGCAAAGAGCACTGTCAGGTAGAGCCGGAAGGCTGATGGCGTCCAGGTGGGGATGCAGATGCGCTTGTGGGGGCCACCCGCCTCCCGCAGCTGGGTCATCACCATCATGGGGGCCGTAAGCAGGAGCGAGAGGAGCCAGAGGATGGCACTGGCCAGCTTGCGGTAAGCGTTGCCGGCCTGCCTGGCCCGCAGCGGCCTGGCCACTGCCCAGTATCTCTCCAGGCTCATGGCGGTCAGGAGGAAGATGCTGGCATGCATGGTGAGGAGGTCCAGGCTGAGCAAAAGCCTGCAGCCCATGTCCCCGAAGAACCAGTCATGGGCTAAGTAGGTGCAGACTACAAAGGGGATGGTGGAGAGGTACAGGAGGTCAGCCAGGGCAAGGTTGATCACATAGACCCCCAAGGAGCCCACTGAGCGGCCTGCCACCCTGCCAGAGGCCACCACCACCGTGTAGATGTTCCCCACCATCCCAGTGAGGCAGATGACCAGCAGCACTGCACCCAGCGGCCCCGTGACCGGGCTGTCACCTCCCAGGACACTACTGCTGTCACCCACACCACTGCTTTCCTCCAAGAAGCTTCCACCCTCAGGATCCTCTCCAGGCCTTGCACTCATGAGGGAAGGATCACAAGACATCTTTGGGTAGGGTGAGCAAGAGCAAGTCAGGCTGTCAGAGACCTGTTCCTTCCCTCTGCCTTCCGCCCTCACTGTAAGGGACACGTCTTGCCTTAACACGAGAGGGAAGAATGGTGAGAGTTCATCAGACATAGGGTACTTTAGAAATGTCTATTCCTCACCTCCAGCTGCCCAGTCCATTTTGCTGATCTTGTCCATAGCAACCTCCATCCAGTAGTTTTCCTTAACCACCAAAGGGCTGAGAAGAGGACACCTCCCTCCCCTTCAAGACTGATAGGTGCAAAATAACCTCTGCCAGCCAGGAGGAAATGTCTCTGGTCTTCTCCAGCTTCTCACTTGTTGCTTTTCCAGCATTCACTGGGCCCATGAAAACCAGCAGACTCGGTGGACAAGCGGATTTCTCCTCCCAGGTCCGTGTCCTCTCTGCTCAGATAGACTCTGGAGGGGTGGGCTCTGCCCCCCTGAACCAGCCCCTGCAGAGTTGCCTTGCCTACTGCACAGAGGAATGTGTCTGACTCACATCTTCACACACCAGTGTGAGCGCAGTCCCCGTTTATACTGGGCTCTTAGCCACTAGCTGAGGAGCCATGCTGGCTCCCTCCTCTTTCTTGCAGACATGCTCCTTCTTCCCCAGTGCCTTCCTCCAGCTCCCTCTTCTTCTTGTTCTTTTTTTTTCTTTTTCCCATTTCCCCTTGCATAGTATTCCTCATTTGAAAGAGGAGATAACTAAAAGACAAGACTCCTTAATGTGGCAGTGGGGCAAAGCATCGCACTGTGACTTTAGAAGGGAAAAAAGGGCCAGCCCTGAAAATGCAATAGGCAGGGAGCTGCCACACTGCCAAGCTGGGCTGAGAGGGCCTGTCCCCGACTCCCTTCCAAGGAAATCAGTAGTCATTGAGACAATGGATGTAGCCCCTGGGTTTGGAAGCAAGCCCACCAGATGCTGGGATGTCTCACATTTACTATGACCTGGCCCTGTTCCGCCCTTGTCCCTCAATCAGCGGCAAGTTCCTAGAGACTCAAAGAGCTGCGTATTTTAGACCCACTGTTTCCTCTCTCTCCCCAAAGACCAGTCTCCTCCTCTAAGCCTTCCCCCTCCTTCCCTCGAACCCTCAAGACCTGCCGCCTCACCTCAAAGCAGGGAGCACAAGTCTGTTAGGTAATCACCATTGCCTCCTAGTGGGGCATCACTGCATGACACCCATGCCCCCACATTTCTGCACCCAAATCTACCCTGCTCTTTCTTCACCCACATGTGAACCTCATTCATCTCAGGGAACAGACACAGTGGGACAGAATTTGCAGAGCAGAGACAGATGTTCCATTACCAAACCACTCTGCTGTTCGTTCTCAGGCCACTCCAGCCATGCTCTTTTGCATCCTTGGTGCATTAGCTTCGTTGTGGCCGAGTTAAACATCTCCACTCATCTCCAGCAGCAATAACTCAGCAGCAAACAGGAGAAGGAAGCATCCCACCAGCACCCCTCACTGCCATAGGACCCAAGCACCTTTCTGAGCAGTGCAATGCATGCAACAACAACAGCTTCACCATGACCGTGCTATAGGAGTGGGCACATGGCATTGATGGAGGGAACTTTAGAGTTCAGAGATAACCTCTGGGTTATCTCTCTACCCTTCTTCCCAGAGAACTGAATGTGCAGGCTTGTTTAGATGGGGCTTGAGGTTTGTTTTTTTTTAATTGACTGCCCCATTTTCATGTTATCAGAACCGAAAAGCACTTGATTTTGGAATACAAGCTTTGCAATGGCCTTCGTTTTTAGGACAGTCATGCTCCAAACTGGGAGAGATCAGCAAACTGCAGTGAAAATATACTTTTGGGTGGAAAGCTCCATCGTGCCATGGCAGCAGGATGAGTGATACTGCTTCTCGTCCGAGAAGCTGATGCTCCCAACAGGTTGTGGTGGTCTCAGCACAGAAAAGGGCCCCCAGAGAAGCAGTGGAGGATGATGATTTTGCTCATTTGTCTCTGATGGGAAGATTCACAGTCCACGTGCCCCGGGAAATGCAATGAATAGCCATGACTCCTTGCTCTGATTGTCTGTCCCTTTTTTTTCCAAGAAAAGGCCTCATGCCTTAGCAGTTAGCAGCTCAGCTTGTTTAGGAAGTTAAAATAAATTACAATGGGATTTTTTTATTCATTTCTTTAGGAGATAATTAAAATACTGGCTGCCTCATTAATTCCAGTTAGCTCCTCTTAACACACTAGACGCCTGCTCTCACAATGCCTGCGTAAAACTGCAGACACATCAGATTATACAGTCATCAGCAGAACTCAGCTAGTCCTTCCAGCATGTGAAACACAGCTCTCCCAGGAGAGCTTTGATCCTCAAGATATGAATCATGGGTTGATTGAGTGGTTAGGGCTAACTGTTACTAGGAAGACGTGAACATACAGGCTTCCTATTATTGCATAAAATTGTATGTGTACGTAATATACAATATATACACATGTAATGTATAGGGCAGAATGAAAGCACCAGGCCTTTGACATACAGAGAATGAGAGAGCAGAGATCCATGTATTACTAACTCCAGACATCAAACCCTACACTCTAGTAAAGCCAACAGAGTCCAAAGCCTGTATCAGAAATGCCATAGGCTGCTCTCTGCCGGACCCAACCTCTCTCCATTGGTTTGACTAGAAACTCAAATTCGACAGCTGAACTTCAATGGCACGAGTATCCCTCACACTATCTGCCTTAGGGTAGTATTCCACCTCCCACCGCTTTTTGTTACCTGCACACACACATTATCCACATACACAGAAGTATAGATGCACATTGGTTTTGAGCAGATCTTTTAACATTTTCTGTAGCAATCGGAGGAAGGTCTCCACACAAATGTGGTCTGAAGAAGCTTTCAAGCCCACACACGGCAGGAGGAAACTGGCTTCATATTTGGCTATTAGATTACATCTTCTAAGTGACCTTTCTCAACTAAAGCTTTAACTGATCAAATATGTAGATGTTTCACATCTCTTCACCAGCGGAGAAGCCATTTCTTGTCTCTTCTAGTCCAGCAGCCCCTGCAACCCGCTGGGGCGTAGCTCCAGGCAGGCAGCTGTTTTCTTGCATAAGGTAGGTGGCTGTCTGCAGGTTCATGCAGGAGGGACTTTAGGTCCCACATCCAACATAGCAAGTGCCAAGTTTTCAAGGCCCAATTCACAGGCAAGGCCTGCCAGCGTCCAGTCAGATCACAGCAACTCAACAGTGACAGGTTGCACTGAGGATTCAGACTCACAAAATCTTGCACTTGAAAGGAAGCAGCTTAATTTGCCCCCCCAGAACAAAGTGCACTGTCTACAGGGAAAAAAAAGTGCTTCAAAGAGCGCTTCAAGAGCACTGTGTTTCTCTGATGTCGATCTCCTCTCCTCTCCTGACAGCCCACCTGGCAGGAGCATGTAGAGTCGAGTCATAGCGAGGTTCCTGCATGGCTTTCTAGGATTTAAACTTGAAGTAGGCTTCAACTGTAGTGAAGGAAAAAGGTGGTGCATTAGGGCGATACCCTGAACTGGAGTGGCCGGAGAGGAAGGAAACGGGATCCAGGCACTTACTCGCATATTCCTGTGGTGTCATGGCCTGGTTGATGACACTAGTAAAGGCTGCGATCCAGTCCAGCTGGTCAGTCTCCGTTTCACAGGTGAAGAGGTATTCCCGGTCAGGGGTGACAATGGTGAGGCCATAGGGCCAAGAGAAGTTGCCCTGTGTCCCCGAAGGCAATCCCTTCTGGACGCTATAGCCATTCTCTCTGCTGCCCACAAA